GAGAGCTAAATGAAATGGAGATAAGTAATATGCCTGCTAGAGAATTAAAGTAATGGTCATAAAGTTACTCACTGCACTGGAGAAAAGAGTAGAAAACATCAGTGAAACCCTTAACAAAGAGATGGAAAACATTAAAAAAGAACCAATCAGAGATGAAAAACTCAAGAACCAAAATTAAAAATACACTAGATGGAATAAAGGGTAGACTAGAGGAGGCAGAAGAATGGATCAGTGACCTGAAGGACAGAGTAATGGAAAGCAATCAAACTGAACAGGAGAAAAAAACTAATAATAAAAAATGAAAATAGACAGAAAACTCAGTGACACCATGAAGCATAACATTTGTATTACAGGGATCCAAGAAGAAGAAGAGAGAGAAATAGGGGCAGAAAATTTATTTGGAGAAATAATAGTTTAAACCTTCTCAAATTGGGGAGAAAACAGAACCAAAACCAGAAGGAATAGAGAGCCCAGAATAAGATCAACCCAAACAGGTCCACACCTATACACATAGTAATTAAAATGGCAACAAGTAGTGAGAAAGAGAGCATATTAAAAGCACAAAGAGAAAAGGAAACAGTTGCATACAAGGGAAACCCTATAAGGCTAACAGTGGAGTTTTTAACAGAAACTCTGCAGGCCAAAAGGGAGTGGCATGATATATTCAAAGTGCTTAAAGGAAAAAACCTGCAGCCCAAAATATTCTATCCAGTAAGGCTATCATTCATAATAGAAAGAGAGATAAAAAGTTTCCCAAACAAACAGAAGTTAAAGGAACACATGAGCATTAAACCAGCCCTACAAGAAATGTTAAAGGGGACTCTGAGTGGAAAGGAAAGACCATAAGTTAGGAGTAAGAAAAGTAGAAAGTTCAAAAGCAGTAAAATTAAGTATAGCTATAAAAATCAGATAAGGGATTAACAAAATAAAAGGCTGGAAAATATAACACTATAAACCTAAAATGTGGGAGGGGAAGGAGTAGAGAATGTGTTGAAAATTAAGCCACCATCAATTTAATGCAGACTGCTATATGCATAATATAGTATATATAAACCTAGTAGTAACCACAAATCAAAACCCACTCATAGATATGGAAAAAATAAGGAGAAAGGAATCCAAGCATATCACTAAAGAAAGCCAGCAAAACGTGAGAGAAGAGAGCAAGAGAAGAAAGGAACAGAGAACTACAAAACCACCATAAAACAAATAACAAAATGGCAGTAAATATACTTACCTATCACTAATTACTTTGAATGTAAATGGACTAAATGCTCCAGTCAAAAGACTATATAGGATGATGGAATGGATAAAAAAGCAAGACCCATTTATATGCTGCCTACAAGAGACTCATTTCAGACCTAAAGACACATTCGAATTAAAAGTGAAGGGACTGAAAAGCATTTATCATCCAGGTGCAGGTGAAAAGAAAGCTGGGGCAGCAATACATATCAGACAAAATAGCCTTTAAAACAAAGACCATAACATAAGACAAAGAAAGACACTATGTAATTATAAAGGGAACGATTTGACAAGAAGATACAACAAATGTAAACATTTACATGAGAACAGTCAAATACATAAAGCAGCTAATAAAAAACATAAAGGAAGTACTAGGGAAATACAAATCAAAACTACAATGCAACATCATCTCACGCCTGTCAGAATGGCTAAAATTAACAAAATAGGAAACAACAGGTGTTAGCAAGGATGCAGAGACAGGGGAAATCTCTTACACAGCTGGTGGGAATACAAACTGGTGCAGCCACTCTGGAAAACAGTATAGAGATTCCTCATAAAGTTAAAAATGAACTACCCTGTGTTCCACAATTGCACTACTAAGTTTGAAGGGATACATGCACCCTGATATTTATAGCAGCATTATCAACAATAGTCAAATTATGGAAAGAGCCCAAATGTCCATTGATTGATGAATGGATAAAGAAGATGTGGTATATATATATGCAATGGAATATTACTCAGCCATAAAAAAGAATAAAATCTTACCATTTGCAAAGATGTGGATGGAGCTAGAGAGTATAATGCTAAGTGAAATAAGTGACTTCACTCATATGTGGAATCCAAGAAACAAAACAGATGAACATAAGGAAAAAAAGAGAGGCAAACTGGAAAATGGACTCTTAAGAGAACAAACTGATGGTTACTGGAGGGGAGGTGAGTTAAATGGGTGAGTTAAATGGGTGATGGGTGCTAAGGAGGGCACTTGGCTGTGATGAGCACTGGGTGTTGTAAATAACTGATGAATCACTAAATTCTACATGAAACTAATATTACACTGTATGTTGAATAACTGAACTTCAATACAAACTCAAAAAAAAAAAGAACTTACACAATTGAAAACCAAAGAAACAAATAATCCAATTGAAAAACGGACATAGGACCTGAATAGACATTTTTCCAAAGAAGACATACAGATGGGCACTAGACACATGAAAAGATGCTCAACATCACTCATTATTGGGGAAATGCAAATCAAAACCACAATGAAATATCACCTCACATCTGTCAGAATGGCTAAAATAAAAAAACAAAAAACAAAAAATAACAAGTTTTGGTGAGGATGTGGAGAAAAAGGAACACTTGTGCACTGTTGGTGGGAATGCAAATTGGTGCAGCCACTGTGGAAAACAGTATGGAAGTTCCTCAAAAAATTGAAAATAGAATTACCATATGATCCAGTAATTTCACCATTGGATATTTACCCAAAGAAAATGAAAAAACTAATTAAAAAAGATATGCACCCCTAGGTTTACTGCAGCATTATTTACAGTAGCCAAGATATGGAAGCAAACCAAGTGTCCATCCATAGATGAATAAATAAATAAATAATATGTGTGTATGTAAATATATATAATGGAATATTATTCAACCTTAAAAATGAATGACATCTGACCATTTGCAACAATATGGATGGATCTAGAGGACACAATACTAAATGAAATAAGTCTGTCAGAGAAAGATAAATACCATATGATTTCACTCATATGTGGAATTTAAGAAATAAAACATGTGAACAAAGAATAAAAGAGACAAAAAGACGCTTTTAAAAAAAATTATTGTAATACCAGTATAGTTAACATACAGTGTGGTATTAGTTTCAGATGTATAATATAGTTATTCAGCAGTTCAATACATCACTCAGTGCTCATCAAGATAAATGTAGTCTTAATCCCCTTCACCTATTTCACCCATCCCCCCATCCAACTTCCCTCTGGTAACCATCTGTTTGTTTTCTATAGTTAAGAGTCTGTTTTTTGGTTTGTCCTTTTTCCCTTTGTTCATTTGTTTTGTTCCTTTTTCTCCACATCCTTGCCAACACTTGTGTCTTAAGTTTTTTATTTTAGACATTCTGACAGGTGTGCGGTGATATCTCCTTGTGTTTTTGATTTGCATTTCCCTGATGATGAGTGATGTTGAGCATCTTTTCATGTTGTCCATCTGTATGTCTTCTTTAGAGTAATATCTATTCATGAACAGACTCTTAAATTTAGAGAACCAACTTTTGGTTGCCAGGGAGGAGGTGGGTGGGGGGGGGATGGATGAAATAGGTGAATTATGAGTACACTTATCATGTTGGGCACTGAGTAATGCACAGAAATTTAAATCATTATATTGTACACCTGAAACTAATATAACACTTTATGTTAATTATAGTTGAATAAAAAACTAAAAAAAGAAAATTTGAAGTCAAATTTCTTTGGGAAACAAGTGTGTAGAATGGGTAAAATAGTGAAGACTATCATTAATTGGGAAAAACATAATTCACGTACTTCTTGTGAGTCTCAAATCTAAGTTTTAATGTACTGAAGTGTGTATCTATGTGTACTATACATAAAATTATATGTACAAATTATTGCTGAAAGAGCTATTTACATTTCAGACCAAATCTCTCACTTGACAGATGAAGAAACTCAAGCACAAAGATATAGGTTATTTAATTTTATGAAATGGAACATATTCAGGACTTTACATGATTTTCATCATTTCACTTCTAAAAGTTACCATTTTGGGGGTGCTACTTCCAATTATATGTTGGTTTACTAACACAGTGGTTTTCATACTGTGGTATAGAATTCTGTGATTCCAGAGAGGTGCCTCAAGGATGACAGGGAAGGAGTGATGAAGCAAGGAAAGATGGGATGGAAAAAGGGGGTAGTGGACAGTGGGAATTGCTACCTTTTCTTCAACTTGGACAGGCTTGCTTTTATCCATTTTATATATTGGGTCTGCCCAAGATTTCATTATAAAAGCATCCTTCTACTAAATAAAAGTTTGCAAATCATTATAGCTTGAACAGGATTTAGCACCTGTATGAAACAGACTTTCTCCACAGCTTAGGATCTGGCATTGTGTTTTAATTAGTTTCTTGTAAACATTCGGGGGCACCTGATGAAACTCTTTTCCCAGGAAACAGCATATAGGCACACATTTATGTACCAAATACAGTAGTTCAGGGACTTCCTGAAATCCATTTACAGATTCTGGGTTAATAACACAACTCTGAAAACTTTAGATGACTTAAATAAGAAACTTCTTGTTGAAAAAGAATAAGAATTTGGGATTAAATTAGAATGTGTTTGGAAAAGATGGATTTATCTTTAAACACAGCATAACTTTGTAGGGCCAGTTTTTCCTGCCTAATGAAAAAACAAATGTACTTTTGACCAAACTTCAAGGATCCTATGTACTCTTGTTGGCCACACTATTCTTTTGATTCACTGATTCATTCAATAGATATTTATCAAGAACAGTAGAAGACACTGTGCTAAAACAAATGTAAGTGAATGATTTCAGATATTTGCTTTAGAAGCCATCTATACTTGAGGATATGAATAGTTTTTAGTCCTTAGTGAATTTTACCACTTAACCCCTTTCACCAGGTCTCCTTCCCTCCCCCTCCCTCCTTTCTCCTTTCTTGCCCTCCCTCCCCACACCCCCACATCTCTTAACTCTCCATTGGAGTAAGTATCCCTTTGACTTACCTGGGCTGGATCAGGCCTGGATGACTGAGGCCTCGGCTGTCTATCTAAGCTGCTTTCAGTCATGCACGTATTGCAAGTTTCAATCAGAGGACTGTAGGGATGTGCAGGGACACTGGGGCTGTGGCACCAAGGGCTGCTATTGGGCAAAGGGTTTGGTGGGGTTTCTTTTTCTCTGTTAAAAAGAATTAATCCAAAAGTGAACCCAAAAGGTATCTTATATAGTGGAATTAGCAATGAAGGTTCAATTAAAGTGAAAGCATGTTTTAAGACCAGAGAATATGGCTTTTTTAGACCTTTGGGCAGCACTTTTTTTTTTTTTTTTTTGGCAGCACTTTTATAACATCAGAAGCATTTGCCTAAATAAGTGTGACATAAAGGCTGCACTTTAAGCCACAAGCCAGCTCTTGATCCAAGATGAAATTTCTAGATGATGCACCTCTTCCTCCACCTAAGCACTGCTAAAGACATGGTGATAATTTCATCTCTTCACCTCTCCACAGCCTTGCCTCTAACAGCAGTGCCACTAAGAAGTGAAATGGCCAGAGGGGTCTTGATATTGCCTAGTAGAAGTCACCGCCTTTACTGTTCCATGACTATAACCCTGCTTACTCTGTGTTTTTCATAAAACACAAAAAGTATTATGGCTTGTATGGTCCTATTTGAAATAGGGTTTTTTTTATTTGATTTACCTATTCATCATGTATCTATTTGTCACCCAGTCATTCCTACTTGCTCAGTTACTAACTGTGGGAAGGATTCAATTAAAAAAAAAAAGCCAAGCAACTTTTACCTTTTGAGAAAAACTCTGACTCGTTCCATCTGATATTTTGAGATATCTTTATTACATTTATCTTGTTTTTCTTTAGTTGTAGTTATAGCTGCTGGCCAATTAAACATGTGTCTTCGAGACGTTGTACTTACTACTGAGCATCTGTCAAATTCAATGTCAGTCTCTAATTTCTCCCATGCTTGCTTCCAGTGAATAGGAGTGTACCAGGCAACAGCCTAACAAAAATGATTCATTAATATCAAATATCAATGCAGTTAATTTTTTTAAATGTCATAGGTTTATTGCAATAACATTTCAAAGTCAAACAGTTTAATGTCACTTACCTACTGTGTGTGAATTAGTGGAACACAATGAGGATGTAGTAAGACATCCTGGCCTTAGTTTCCAATTCTGAAAATGATAAGGGGCATAACCTCAGGCAGATTAGTCACTTACTGTCTTGGACTGTGTCCTCATATGTGAAATGAGGGGGGTGATAGTAGGGAATTGCTATATGAAGGTGTTATGAGATTCAGCTAAACTACTAAATTTCATATCTATAAAGAACTATGCAAAAAGTAGTTGTAATGTTATCATTAAAATTTAAATATTTAAGATATTTTATATATGTATATATGTATATGTAGGTCTTATTTGGAATGGGGAAATGGGCAGTAGAACTAGAGACACGGAGAGGAAACCACATTTTTTGAGTTAGAATCTTAGGTGGAACTATTAAGGAGACTAACTAGACTCTGAATTTCCTGAGGACAGAAACCATGCAATAGTTATGCTCTTTTTCCCCCAGCACCTAGCATAATGCTTGGCAGACACTAAACATATGTAAACGTTCCCCATATGAATGAATTGGTCAGTTTCATTCTTTTACTAGCAAATAAAATTATTTGTGTTTACATCACCCTGCAGAAATCATCCGATCCTATATGTGCAAAGTAGTTCAAACCAGAGTAAAAACAGTAGTGTAAGTACAAAGACTAATCCCGTTGCAGAGAATGACAACTTACTCAAATGGGCATTCCAGGAACTTAAGGACCTGGTCTGTCTGGTTCAACACTCAGTGCCTGGGAACAGTGTGCATACAAAGTAGAAACCCCAAACATGTTTGCAGAGTGAATAAATGGGTGGATAAATGTGACGAAAAGTCTGAAATAAGAATGCCTTAATCTTAGAGTTTTGCCAATGATTTTTTATGAACCTGAGTAAATAATTTAGATCACATAACCTTATTTTTCCCAACAGTGAAAATCATTAGAAGTATTATAAAATTCATTTGGAGCCCACTAAAAGATCTAAAGGTGAGTAAAGGCTTCAAAATTACATCTAACAAGTGTTCTATCTAAGGACAACTGCTGCTCTTACAGAAAGACATTAAATGGCTCTTAATAAATTGGCAAGTCTACTCTAAAGAAAGAGTCAAACTAAGCATGAGGTATAATGTAGCAAGCAAGACAAGCAGAGAGATAGATTCCAATCAACATATTATCTGGATTAGTAGTTATATGACATAGTAAGTAAGACTGGAGGTAAGAAAATAAGAAGGCAGGTATTTAAGAAAAATCAAAAGAATGGTTTTGCAAAAGGAATAACTTTTTTGTTATAAACAAAGATATCTTTCAACTTTATTAGTGTGTATTTGGGCATATATTTATGCTAATATTATGCTAAGGAAAAGGTAGAATGAAAATCTAAAACTGTCAAATACTGGCAATGAGTTACCCAAAATTATTACTAATACACTTAATTTTATAGTGAATAATGTATAGTTGTTACAAATTAGACTATGGATCCTTTCATTAGAATATTAGTCTCTTAAAAGCAGATATCATATTCTATTCTACATTACATTCTCAGCACTTACTACAGCCATTGGAATTGAGAATAATCTCAACAAATATTTGAGAAATTAATAAATGAACAGAAAAGATCTCTATGTAAGTACCTTCCTTTCTTATTCCACTCTTCAGCCCAAATATCACAAATAAAATCCATTCTTGACTCAAATTTGAAGCAACTTCTTGGAAATATGGGCTATGAAAATTATTTTTGCCAAATTAAAAGTAGCTCTTTGGCACTTTGGCCCTGGGAACAGGGTGCTGTTGATTTACCTGACATGTTATTGCAGTTAGTGATGGTTTAAACTATTAAGGATGGAAAATACTTGAGTCAGCTAAGAAGAGAAGGGGAACCTAAGGAGAACTATCCATTCTTCTTTTAAAACTTATCATTAAGAATAGGACACTGACTTCACCATTAGGTTTGCACAGAATCGTTGTACAATTTGGGCTTGTTCTAAACTTGTTTTGTTCTCTCCAAAGAAAATCTGATGGTGGCTGATGCTTTGCTTCAGATGCAGCTGCCCACACCTGTAAGAAAATGGTTTGTTAATGACAAATGCCATTTGAGTTCCATGTAGTTTTGTCTATGTCAGAGGGTCATTGCAATGTATCATTCTGAACAAATGAGGTTTTAAAATATGACTGTATAATATATAATGTCAAGCTGTGTAACTGTACATGGTTTAAAGGAAAGCACAAGAAAGAGAGGAAACCTTCCAGCATCAGCTAATTACCTGTTCTCTAAGCAAACAATCTCTTTGCTTTTCTTTTAAGGATTATATTTGCTTAGTTTTAGGAGCTTAGGTATTTTGTTTTAATAGTTGAATCATAAAAACAAAAGGTATTCAGGGCACGTGGGTGGTGCAGTCGGTTACCTCACTTACCTCACTGACTTTTGGTTTTGCTTCGGTTATGATCTCAGGGTTATGAGAGTGAGCTCTGCACTTAATGTAGAGTCCACTTAAGACTCTCCCTCTTCCTCTGCCCTTTCTCCCTGCTCTCTTTCTCTCAAATAAATAAATAAATCTTTAAAAATCCCAAAAGGTATTGTACACCAGATTGAGGAAAGCCATGGAAATTTAATTATGGGTATTTATTTACATTCAGGGATGGACAAAGTGGGACAAGTAACTAACAACAACAAGGAATCACATTTTACCTAGAGATCGAGTGATGAAGAAACTGGTGCTAAGCCAGTCTGGCTGGGTGAAGGAGTTTTTCCTGTAAAATTCTAGATCATAGCATTTGTATCTTATACTCACTGTTATTGTGCAGTTGGCCTGCATTATGATATTTGGAGGGAAGCGGTACAAAGAGACTGTTTGTCCATTCACATTTTGCTGGAGAATATGACCTCCAATCTCCAGTTCTTTGTCAAGGGAAGAGTTAATGAGTTTCACAAATAAACCCTTGACATTTACTTCAGCTATTTTAATGTCTCCAAGAGCACTAAAAAATAAAGCACAAAGATTATAAGGTAACTTTAGAGAAATGTATCTTTAGCTCATTTTAAGAACTGAATACTATGCTTTAGAAGTACAACTTTTAAATAGCTGTGTATTCTATTGGACACATTCTATGTAGAAATGGTGTATTTTATAACCTAAGACATATGGTTTGATCTCTTAGTTCTGTTTATCTGTGCAACAAAATTATCTCTTTCACAAGGAAGTTAAAAAGTGCCAATATATAAATAATAAAGAAAAGTTAAAAAGTGTCAAGGTATAAATGCCATAGGAAGATGTGATTATCATTATTTAAAGTTCCTTTTATTCATCAAAAAAGCATGAGACATGAAACTATCAAGTAAATAAAGAGGAAAGGTAAACCATTTAGATTATTTCTGATAAAGTTGCTGTGAAGATGAATAGCAACTATGTGCTTAAAAGAATTTTGCAAACAAAATATTATGCAAATGTAAGACGGTAATTTTTCCCTCTAACATGTGTTGAGAGCCTAGTATGTACCAGGGAGTAGGCTAATAAACATTTATATGTTAGCATTTCTCAGAGTGTGGGTCACAACCTAATAGTACATCATGAAATCCATTTGGTGGGTTATAGCTGTCATTTTAAAAATGAAATGCCAATAATAATAACCAATACTTATTATGTGCTGGGCACTTTTTAAAGATTACATCTATATCTACAAATTCATATCCACAATTCCAAAATCCATAAAGTTCTGAAAAACCCCAAAACTTAAAAAAATGCATTTGATGTTTGATGAGCACCAGGTGTAGTATATAAGAGATGAATTGCTAAATTTTACAGCTAAAACTAATATTAGCTGTAACATTAATGTTAATTAGCTGGAATTTAAAGAAAAACTTGGAAAAGAATACATTTTAAACAAAATCTGACCTGAATTCCTTTGGTGGCAAAATCTGACCTGAAACTGAGGGGAATCTATTTATAGTCTTTATTTGTGGTTTGTGTGAATTATTCATATGTTTGGCTGTGGACAAATTAATGTTTGATTTTGGATACTTTTCTAAGCCCTGATGGGGTATTATGTGATATGTGTTCTAGTCATCATATTACCTTTCTGAAATCCCCCAAGTTCTGAATTTTGAAACAGATCAAGTTCCCAAATATTTTGGGAAAGGCATTGTGAACTTATAGATATTCATTTAATTCTCATTATAAGGCTACATATTTCTTACTGAAAGTCATGGTTAAAAAAATTGAGGGACACTAATATTTCATGAGTGAAATAGGCTTATTTCATCTGCCCCCAATCCCTCCCAACTCTGGTAACCAATAGTTTGTTTCCGGTATCTATAAGTCTTTTTCTGTCTTGTTTGTTAATTTGTTGTTGTTGTTTTTAGATTCCATATATAAGTGAAATCATGCAGTATTTGTCTTTGTCTGACTTATTTCATTTAGCATTATATTCTCTGGGTCCATTCATTTTGTTGGAAATGGTAAGGTTTCATTCTTTTTTTATGGCTGAATAACATATATATTACATCTTCTTTATCCATTCATTTATTGATGGGCAACTTAGGTTGCGTCCATTATCTTGGCTGTTTTAAATAGCTTGCAATGAAGACAAGTGTGGGCATATATCTATCTCTTGAGATTGTTTTCATTTTTCAGTAAATACCCAGATGTAGAATTGCTGTATCATATGATAATTTTTTGAGGAACCTCCATACTCTTTTCCATAGTGGCCACACCAACTTACATTCCCACTACCTTAGTCTTTGTCTTAATGTCTCTGTGGTATTTGCCTTTACCAGATATGCTTTCTTTTTTGGAACTCCTCTCCTTGTTTACCCAAGTCCCTGTTTTCCTTCTATCAGTCTAGTTGCTCCTTTTCAGTCTCTCTCTCTCTCTCTTTTTATCTTTTTAATTTCTTTTTCAGATTTTTCTTCTTCATCTATCTCTCAGACATTGATCCCTGGGATTCTTCCAAAACCATCTTTTATTCTCATCACATTCCATATATGTGATATCACCTATGAACAGGGCATCAGTAACCATTAATACACTGATGACTGCTAAATCTAAATCGCTTCCTTAGATTTTCCTGCTGAGCTTTGGACCCATAGAAACAACTGACCACCACAGACCCCAAAGATGCCTCTGAATCAACATGGCCCAAATTGAATTCATCATTTTGGAAGGGTGGGAAACCTATTCCAGTGAATTGCATCATCATTTATCCTGTTGGCCATGTCTGAAATTTCAGTTATTTTCTCACTCTCTTAAGCTTCTTGCCTTATCTGTGACAAACACTATTGATTCTATCCCTATATCTTCTGTAAACCATCCTTTTTTCCCCGTCTATTTCCATCTATTGCTGTTGTCTTCATTAGGTCCTCCTCACCTCTGTGTGATATTGTAACAGTGTCCTAACTGGTTTCTCCAGTTCTGTACCCTCCTAACTATTCTCTATTTTGTTTTCAGAACAGTCTTTGTTTGCTATCCAGAACAAGGATAAATATTGCAATAATTGACCATTTCCTTCCAGAGAAAACACCAACTTCATAGCATGGAAACAAGGCCCTACCTAATCTGCTAGCCTTGTTAATCTCTTTTTTCCCACGTCCTAGCTTGCTTGAACTTCAACCACAAAGGATTTATCCCAACACTTGTGACAGGTCATACCATTGCATGCTTTACCCACTGTCTATGCAAGTATTAGTAGTTCTTCTTATTCCCCACATTCCTACCAACACTTGAAACTTTCAGACTTCTTAATATTTTCAATACAATGGGTACAAAATGGTATCTCATTGTTATTTTAACTTATTTTCCCCTGATTATAGTGCAACTGAATAAGTTATTTATTGGCCACCCAGTTTTCTTCTGTGAATTCCATGTTCATCTTATTTTTTCCACTTCTATAAGGTTGTTTTACATTTTTATGATTGAGTTCATAGTATTTAAATAAAATAGCATTTAAATATATATACACATATTTTTAGAAGAAGAACTGTGCTGTAATAAAAGAATATTATTCATGTTATTTTAAGTTGCTATAATGGTGATAATTTGTTATTGCAAGCAATAGAAAACTAATATCCACTTATAAATTTTTAAATTGTGTGCCAGAAATGTTGCCAGAGTCTTCTGTCTTCTATTTTTCTAATGATAAACCACTCCCAATCTTATATTGTTCCTTCGAAGGTAAGTTTCCTTTTTCTCTAAGATTTTCCTTATGTCTTGAATTTTTCGTTTGTTTGTTTGTTTAAAGGGGGGTTTGGAGAGGAGGGACAGAGGGAGATGGTGAGAGAGAATCTTAACAAGGCTCCACACCCAGCATGGAGCCAAAAATCAAGAGTCTTAACCGACTGAGGCTTAACTGACTAAGGCCACCCAGGCACTCCTCTTATGTCTTCTGTTATAGAAGTTTTTCCAATATGTACCCACAGGTTTGGGTTTTTATTTTTCTGTCTTTTATCTTTCTGGTAGTTGGTAGTGCTTCTTGCATCTGTGGCTTGATGTCTTTCATTAGTTTGAGAACCTTCTCTGCTGTATTTCCACCAGTACTGTTCTACCTTAATCTGTGTCTCCTCCCCTTAAGTAACTTCAATTACAAGTAGGTAGGGTTTTTTTTTTTTTTTTTTAATCTTTCTCTATTTATCCTTATGCTTGTTTCTGTTCTTCTAATATCTTTGCAATTCAGCCTGGGTATTTTCTTCTAAGAATGTTTTAGTGCAATAATTCTCTCTTCTGTTGCATCAAATATATTGTTAAACCCATCTACTTCTGAAATAGTAATTTCTCTTATTGGATTTTTTTAGTTCTAGAATTTCCTTCTGACAATTTAATAATAAACCAATAAAATATTCAGTTTCCAGTTCTATCTTGTCATTTAATTCCTTGAATACTCAGTCATTGTTATTTTAAAATCCCTGTCAGATAACAATAATATCTGCACCACTGAGGCCTGTTTTTAGTGTCCATTTTAACCTTAGTTTTTGGTTAACTTTTTCCCCCCCCATTTTTATTTATTTATTTTTAAATGGTATTTTATTATGTTATGTTAGTCATCATACATTACACCATTAGTTTTTGATGTAGTGTTCCATGATTCATTGTTTGTGTATAACACCCAGCACTTTACCCATTTTTAAACTGGCTTCTCTTTTTGTTGTTGTTGAGTTATAGAATTCTTCATATCATCTGGATACTAGTCCCTCATCAGATATATGATTAGTAAACATTTTCTTTTCTTCTATGGATTTTCTTTCTGCTTTCTTTCTTTCTTTCTCTTTTGTTTTGGGGGGGGGGAGATTTTTCAGTTGTATGCCTTGTTATTGTTTACTTAGTGTCTAGTATTATAGATTAAAAAAAAAGCTGCAGAGATAGTTTAAGACTCTAAATAGCATTTTCTCAACACATAAAGGATGTACTTAGCTTCTGGCAGCCATCAAAGTTGGGGGTAAATCACTTTAATCAAACCAGGGTGTGAAATGATTTGATGCTATGCCTTAGCTCCAATTAGGATGGTCTATATTGAATATAGCCCTACTATTGGGTGACCCTTTGAAGTTCCAACTGAAAACCTGGGTTGTTTATCAGTGACCCTCTTTCTGGATAGGACCTGAATCCCAATTTTTATTCACCTGGTCCTATGAAACTGCCAGTATATTATTAACTTCTCAGCTTCTTAGCTGCTGCTTTCAAATTAACAACTGTTTTGAGGAGAAAAGCGACTCCAAATGTCGGCCATCACTCTGAGTTTCCTCTTCTAGAAAAGGAATTGTGAGAATAGAGGATGTAAACATCCATGAATCTCAATATATAGTACTAAACTGTTTTCAAAATAGTGGTCTCACTTCATATTCTCATTGCATTGTATGAGAATGCCTGTTTTGCAGAGGTTCACTTTTGAGTAATTTACATTTGTAGTCTTTTCTTTTGCATTACCATTATGGTTCTTACTAAATTGTGGCTATAACATTTTATTCTTTGAAATCTCTAGAATTCCTCTCT